GCTTGTGTTAGGTTTACCGTTTAATTCAATATGAATGATTAAAATACATAAAATTTTGTATTAAAAATCTGAAAATTTTTCAAAAAACGCTCATTATCTCAAAAAATTTCGCTATTTTTTTTCTCGATACACTACATTATCTTCTACGACGTTGCTATGAATAACTTTCATGAGGCAAAAGGGGAATTTATATGTAAATAATTTTTTTTTGATTTCTGTAAAAAAACGACTTATATTAAAGACAAATCCAAGACTCAAACCATTACATGTATTTTTCAAAGGAGTCATCCCCCGAGCGCGTTTACATTACAACAGGACCACCGACAATCTAATAAAAAATAATAAAAAAATTATGACGTTCAATTTACACGTATATCTGCATTATAGCCGTATTACCATAAATTTTTTCAAAATATATTTTCAAAAAAATGCATTTACATTTCTTACCTGTCTCTTACAACTTGTACCTACATAATAAACTCCATCACCATTTAACTACAATTATTATTGTCAAAGATAAGAAAGTAAAGGCCTCAAGACCTCTTAATGTCATAAAAATATTAGAAAAACTAAAATATACAATATTTTCGTGACCATTTTCATCATATATATCAATATGACCAACCAAAAAATCAAATAAAAAGAAAATTGTCCCTGAAAATCTAAAAAATTACACCGTTGTAAAACTTTCTTTAAAGGTAAACAAAAATTTCTAGAGAATTTCTTTAGAAATTTTATTATTTTTTTTTTATTTATTAGGTTGTACAAACTAAAAACCTGAAAATGAAAACATGTTCTATTTTAATTAGTTTTTTAGCCCTTTTCTTTTTTAACATTTTATACCTGAATTACCCATTTTTAAATCTAATCTTAGAAAATACTAATAGATGTCATTGAACTCTTTCATATACATATTTTTTTATTTTCTCTCCCAAAATTTTAATTTTGAAATTTGAATTTTAAAATTAGTGTGGGATCCTTTTAAAAAAATTATGAGTACATATTATGTGTTTTCTATAAATTCTTCGGTAATATTGAATTGAATAAAATTACATAATTTGTATCGAGCTTCAAAATTAATTATAATATTTTGCTTAAAATATAATTGAATATTAAATATATTAAAATATTTTACCTATATGCTATGCATTGCATTTAAACGCGTTTGAAATAATACTTGAAATGTTAACAAGCCAAAAATGTTATTTCTCCTACGTACACCTAAACACATTTACTTTATATGAGTATAGATAATTTGACGTGTACAGATTATGTTTTATTTTTTTTTTAAATAATGTGTTTTTTATGCATTTTAATTGATTAAAATTCTTAAAAAAATAAATTTTTAATAATTATATTAAATAATTTATGAGCATTTTCTTAATATCACATTAACAAACACACTCAATTAAAAATTAGACAGAGTCGAAACAAACGTAATGGAGTTTTTCAATCTCTCCATTGTAGATTATAGATTTTTAAGGGAACCGAGTGGGGTAGGAGGAACCCCACGAGACAGCGCAGTCATTCCTGAATTATTGTAGCCTCCCAACGCTCCAAAGCTCGGCTTCAACTATAAAGCTAAAAATATACCCAAGGAAGTCGAATAGCAGTTTCCGAACGCTTAGGAAATCCTGTACAAAACAAATGCGACGCCGGATAGCCAGTACCGCAAAGGATGTGCACGGCATTTTCGTCACCGTCCGCACAAAATCTGCACAAGGAGGAGCCTGATTTACCGAGCCTATACAGCTGATACCTCTCTGGACAATGCCCCATGAAGAAATTCGTTCCATGGTGGAATATATGAATTTCAGTCTCTTCATATGGTGAAAAATCAGACAGAATTAAATTAACGTTCAAAACAGATGTATTGAATCTAATGTGAAAAATCAAATATAAAAATATGTAAAACCAAACCGCAAATAATTATTCTGTTATTCCAATTTCAAAATTGAAATTCTAAACACTTATTAGTATTAAATGAATATCTAATTTATATACTATCTAGTTCTCTAATACTAAATAATATTTTATAAAAGCATTTATACTACTTATAAAATATATTTTCTATTAAAAACGCATTATTAATGTTAAAAAAAAAAAAACAATAGAAAATTTGAGACAAAAAAGCAAAAATTTTCTTTTTTCTGAAAAAACTGCCCAAAATCACAATAATACAATCATTGTCTTCTTTTCAAAAAAAAAAAAATATACAAATTGAATTTTTATTAAAATCTTTATTAAATACCTAAATAAGAAAAAATTATTACCGTCATCATCAACATCATCGTCATTTTTATATTAAACGAGAAAAAAAATAGAGTTGACCTTGTCAACTCTGTGATACCCGTACGAATTTGTTATCCTATGTGCGAATAAAGATGCCATAACTGACTATGGGACAGACTATGACTTTAAGTTGCCGTATTACCATATTAATTTATGCAAAATTTCACTGCTATGTGTTTTTCAAAATACTGGTTGTCCCAAACTACTATTGAAGTTGTATGGCAGCTACCAGAAAGAGCCAAGAAATTTTAGCGAATTTTATCAAGCACATCGGCCCTGCTAATATATTTACTTGTGTGAAATCTCAATATCACAGCTTTTATAGTTTCTGAGATATAGCCAAATAACTTTTGAAGTTGTATGGCAGGTACCAGAAGGAGCCAAGTAATTTCAACGACTTTTATGAGACACATTGGCCCTACTAATATATTCGTTTGTGTGAAATTTCAATTCCACAGCTTTTATAGTTTCTGAAATATAGTCAAATAACTTTTGAAGTTGTATGGCAGGTACCAGAAGGAGCCAAGTAATTTCAACGACTTTTATGAGACACATTGGCCCTACTAATATCTTCGTTTGTGTGAAATTTCAATACCACAACTTTTATAGTTTCTGAGATATAGCCAAATGAATTTTGAAGTTGTATGGCAGCTTCCCGAACCGGTACCCCGATCATGTCCAATTTAAATAGGGTTCTGGCACTTACTACAATAAATCATCTGTGAAAATTTGGTGAACTTAGCTCAATTAGTTTTTGAGTTATCGTGGGGACGGACGGACGGACGGACGGACGGACAGACAAAGCTAAATCAACTCAGAATTTGACGCTGATCAAAAACATACACTTGAGTCTATATCTAACACCGTTATTTCTTAGTGTTACAAACGGTAAGGCAAATTTAGTATACCCTTCGAACATACGTTCGTACGGGTATAAAAATAACTCTCTCTCTCTCTTCTTCTCTTGTAAATCATTTATAAAAACACCGGAAATACTTTGAGGATTAGGTGGAATATTTCCAATTAAAAATAAAACTAGCACAACACAGTAAAAAAAGAAAAAGGAATAAAAAAATCGATTAATTTCATCACAATTATTGTTGTCATATAGAAATGGTATAGAAATTCATTTTATTATACAAGCTTATAATGAAGCTTATAATTTTAATTTAATTTGTTATTCATTTAGATTTCCAAAAGGTGAGGAATTGAGTATATATGTATGTACATTTACATATACAAATGCACGCATATGTATGTGAACTTGATCATATTGAAAAGGAAATTCTAAACAACACAGAAATAAAATTTAAGAAGAAGAAAAACAAAGATTCACACTTTAAATAATTTTATAAATTTATATACTTTACATTTATTCGGATTTTAAATTCCAATTAAAAGAATTTCAAACTTGAATTTTTGAAAGTTTTTTTTTATATACGAGTATGTGGTTACATTTTATTAATAGAATTGCCGCTCAATATCAATTTTATTCTTCTTTAATTCTTTACTCAGTTCAGTTTCTGAAACGATTTTCAGCTACAAAAGCACAAATTTTTTTAATTTGTTCTTAGAAATGAAAGAGTTTTGAAATTGCAATAAATATAGTTAGGTAATTTTCAAAGTAAACCATCCACATATAGGCATTTATTATTAGAGCATATATTTAAGTTTTAATTGTACATATACATACCTATATTTGGTATGTACTTATAATAACTGTAATACGATTAAATTTTAATTAATTTGTGAATTTTAAGAATATTTTCTAATTATATTAGTATATATTCTATTAATACTAGTATTTTCTTATTTGTAACTGGTAATAGAATTAAAATTAAAAAAAAAATAATTCAATAATTTTATGTTAATGAAAAAGAATTTTCAAAATTTTACTTAAATTTATAGTTACTTTTCATTTATTTATGAAACAAATTAATTTTTTGCTAAAAGCAAGCTCTAATTTAAAAAAATACTCTAATTTTCCAAAATTTCTAGATATTTTTTTAAAATTGTCCCTATACTTATTAAGTTTTTGGAGTATACTGAGACTTCATTTTTTTAAATATTATGTATTCTAAATTAAAAGGAGTTTATATATAATCACAATATGTACAAACTTTCTAAATTATTAAACTTTTTAATCGCACAATTCATGAAATCACACTCATACAACATTTCTTTAAATTCTGTCCGTGTACAATAAATAATTTTAGTAGTGTAATATGATATCATAATTAATATCGTAAAATGCACAAAGTGTAATTTTTCTGACGCAAATTTATTTGTGTTTTTTTGTTGTTTTGTTAGATTTATCCCTCTTTACTCTTTTATAGGTCACCGTGCGGCGGGCACAGTGATTAATAAATTTTTAAAAGAATTTCTTTGCTTATACCTTTGTTTTCGACATGAAAAATGACTAATGAAATTTTGTTCAAATGTTTAAAGAAAAAATTTTGAAGATTTACTGATTTCTTAAACGTATTAATTCCACATTAGTTTTAAAAATAACTAAAATATCCCAAAAAAAAATTCCCAAAATTATGATGATATCGTTTCGAATCATTACGATTTTATGCCACATAAATAAACAAAAGACTAAAGCGAGAAACTTTGTTAATTTTTTTTTTAAATCTTTATAATTTTATTAAATATTTTCAATTTAAATTTATAATTTAATATCTTTGTTATATTTTTGTTTTTTTCAGATGCATCATCATCAAATGAAGCAGTTCATCTGCAACAACGTTTAAAAAGTTTAAGTACCGAATTGGTAACATTACGTAATAGATTACATGTTGGTCAAACCGGGACTGGTACTGCAAATAACACAAATAATAATAACAATAATAATAATAATGGTAATACAACAACAGCAGCAACAAATGTTGGTAATAGCAATACAAACAATTGTATGAATTCGACTACTTCCATAAATGGTAAATTACAAAATTATTAAAATTAGATTTAATTTTATTTTTAAATAAAATAATAATTAATCAAGAATGAATTACTGAACTTATTGAATGAATTACTGAAGAATGAGAACTTAGCTTTTGAACAAACAATAGTTTTTGATTCATAGGCTTACATTAATAATACGAATAAAACATTAACAGAATAGCTACAATAATCTCAATTCGTGCTTAAATTATACAAATTTGTAAAAGCTTAACATTCTTGTTATACTAATTTTTGAGTTCCATGTACTGCAACAATATTATTAAAAATTTTTTAAGAACTCAATTCAGAAAATTATTTTCAAGCCAGTAGTGTATAATAAAAATAGTTGAAATCAAATCTAATGAATCTAAAGTAATTCTTAAAGCAAAATTAAACTTAAATTACTAAATTGTAAACTCAAATTTTAATTGTAAATTATTACTATAATAACAAATTTTATACAATTTATTTTATTTTTAATCTAAAGGTCTTACACTAAACTTAAATAATACAAATAATGGTATTAATGGAACAACACAATCAGCAGCATCAACAACAAATCCTCTTCTTCAAACGAATTGTAATACAGGAACAACAACAACAGCAACATCAATACAACAGCAACAACAACAATCAATAACAACAGGACAATCAACAACATCAAATGTTATTTCTGGAACAACTAAAAATTCACAAACAAATCTAAATGTAATAAATCAAATTTCAAATAGTAATATTAATAATAAGGGTAATAGTGGTTGTAATATCATTGGTAATGGTGGTTTTATTGGTGGTGGTGGTGGTGATAGTATTACAAATAATACTTTATCAAATACAATAAATAGTGATAACGGTGGTAATAAAACTGGAACTGTTAGCAATATTAGAAATTCTAATATTAGTACAAATAAGGTACATAATTAAATACACATATATAATAAATTAAGTAATTGCATGTTGGATTATAAAAATAATAATTAAACTAAGTACTCATTTCATTTGTCATTTTTTTTTTCCTCTCATTATCATTCATTAAAATTTTTTTCTCCTCCTTTAATTTTTACTCTTTACTATAAAATTAATTTTATATAAACATTTTCACATATGTAAAATTCACAAAATTCTTTCTAAATTTTTTCCAATCATAAAACATCATTTTGGGTCGCATGTCCAACAAAACATATTACAAGTTTTATTCTTCTTTATTATCTTGTCGTATTGAATTAAGCTCCTACTAAGTCAGAAATCAAAAAATAAAGGGTGATGTTTTGAGCGAGTGGGTAGTTATTAAATTTAGAGAAAAACACGGAAAAATCACAAAATTGCATGAAATCTTTATTTAAATCTATTATTGAAATTAATCGTTTCCGCTTACTTCTCCAAAAGAATTTCATATAGGAGGTCATTTAAAGAGTCAAACTTTCAGCCGTTTTTTCTTAAATTTCGGTCGGAATTCTAACCAATTACACTTATAATATTTATTCGAATAGTCGATATAAACAAATGGTATACAACTATGAAATTAATTTATCAAAGAAAATAATTGCATGATCTTCTCGACAGGTTCTTAATACATATATTATCGTTTACTAACAAGCAAAAAAAATTAATTTTTAAATTAGATTGTTCACAATTTAGTCCTATTTTTGTTAATAGTCGTTTGCTTATTATAATTCTCTAAAAGTTAAAAAAGATTTCTATTCCCAAAATTTTTGCACCATCCCACGAATATACCCGCACGTTAGGTACATGCAATCATAAATATCATAATATGGTACTTTTGTATGTTAAGAACCAATTTTGCGTGATTAAAATCTTTAAAAACTCAAAATATTTTTATATTACAATTTAAGAGCAAAAGAAGAAGATATAAAATTACAGAATATAAAAATATCCAAATAAAAATAATATACACATATATGTACATAACACACTATCTTTTTGATATTTAATTAAAAACCAAGAAATATATTAAAATTATTTTATATTGTTAATGATAAAAGAGCTCATGTTTTTTTTGTTTTGCTTTCATATTATTATTATTATTATTATTATATACCATTATAAAAGATTTATTTATTATAATTACAGACATATCCCTTAAGTATACCACCCGGTGGTGGTGGTGGTAGTGGTACTGGTAATACCAATATTGGAAATTCAGCCATAATTTCATCTCGAAATACATCGATACCTTTACCATTACCACATCATGTTATAGGATCTATAGGTAAAGTTTATTTGTTTTCTTTTTTCATTTTAAATATTACGATTTTATTACAGGAATTTGTTTAATGTAAGAAATTAAAAGAAAATAAGAAAAATTGTTTTATATTTGTAATAAATCCTTGTTTTATTATCAAATTAAAGATAATAATTTTGAAAACATTAATGTATATATGTAGTATATACAAATGTAATTTATAGTACACACTAATATAAAAAAAAGTTCAATGAACGCATAAATAATAATTTTTTTAAAAAATTCAATATTTTTATTAGTACATATTAATGCCATTCAAGGAAATTAAAGGCTAATTGTATTAAGCAAGTCATTTATACTTGAAATTCTAGCAATTGTTAGTGAATATAGTCATAAAAATTATTTGTGATCAGCACATAATTGTTGCACAAGATAACAACATAATTTCACACACAAAATCATAATATGAGCCTATCTTGGCTCACTCTTACAATTTAATAAAAGAAATCGGTTTGTTTTTTAGTTTAAGGGGTTATAATGCTTTAATAGGGGGCATCAATAATATATAGCAAAAGTTTGTCTACAAAAAAAAAAATTCCCAGCAAAGGCATCTATGTATATTTGATATACAAGTTTGTTTCTGGAAAAATTTCAAAATTTTGTAAACAAACGCATGAACAGACAGGCAGACGGGCACAAAAACGGGCAATTTTGCAAAAAATGTGCTAAAATATGTCTCATTTTAAATAAAATATTGAAAAAATTGAAAAAAGTCACAAATTTAGTCAAAACTTTATTTTTTTTTGTTTTATGTAAATTAAAAATTAATTTTTATTTTATTTTAGAAAATCGTTGTGACACAATATCACGAAGATCAATTGGTATATTAAATGATTTACATACAACAATTACAACATCAGGTACAACAGCTGCAACTGCTGCAACACATACAAAATCTTATGATGCAATTATATCACATACAACAAAACCATTAACATTTGATTATGCTAATGGTAACAGTAATGGACAATGTAATATTAATGGTATTAATAGTAATGGGATCAATAATAATAATAATAATAATATTAATAATATATCTAATTGTGGTGTTGTTAATAATATTAATATTATAACAGCAGCAACAAAAACAATTGATAATGGTAAACAAAAGAAACCAAATGAAATGGATGATTTAATACATTTAACAGGACCATTAACAGAGGATGCTGTTACGAGAACATTACAATCTAGATTTAATAATAATGAATATTTTGTAAGTACATTTTTGTTTAAATTTGTTTAAATTTTTGTTTTAGTCATACGTCATTTTTAAATATGTAATGAAGGGTATAATAATACTCTTTGACTGTAATTAAATTTACTTATCCGTGTAAATGAAAACCAAATTAAAAACCAAAATAATAAACTGTTAAATGGTTATTAACAATACAATCGAATACGGATATGTGCACAATGTTTTTTTCGGCAACTGATAACATTTACCCGAGTTTTGTTTTTATAGGGGGCTCCAATATGTAAATAATGTAAACTTGTCTTAAACACGAATAAACGAACAGCTAGCGCGAATCATACAAATATGTATACATTTTTGTCCGCTTATATGCGTGTTCAACTGTACTAAATTTTTATCAATTTACTCTTGAACTATTTCTATAAAATTGAAGCTTTATTAGAAGTGTCTGAACAAAAATGAAAACTATTTAAAACTTCTATTTTCTGCACCAAGTACATGCTCTTTGGCTAACTGATCTGCTCTAACTACATGCTATTTTTCTAATAGTAATCTTCTATGAGTAAATTTTTATTTGTATTTCTTTGTCTCTTATTTTTATTCTCAGTTAATGGGCTTTTTACAAAACCTTAAATTTTGCAATTATTTTAGTGCTTAAATTTTCATGTAACGCTATATGTACAACTGAACTTAAAAAATAAAATGTAAAAATTTCAAATGGTGTTATCAACACTTGACTGAACATGAAAATGTTTGTTTTTTTTTTATATTTTTGATGCATCTTTCTCTTATTATTTTTATTTCCAATAAAAATGACCAAAAAAAAACCAGAATTTTCTCTTTTAGTTTTTGTTAAATAATTTTTTTAATTCTTAATTTTTATTTATTCTTGCTCTCTAATTTCATATTTTTTAGTGTACTCATAGATGTTAAAAATAAGATAATAATGTAATGAACCTGTATCATATGTACGTGCATCGTACATATCTATATATGTGTATGTGTATAAATACATGCATGAACGTAAGTACATGCGTACATTTATGTAAGAACTGAAGTTGAAAAACTTCTTTTCTTTTTATTTTCTTTTCACAATATTATTTATCGTACAAGAAGAGAAGTAATAAAAAAAATATTAATTAAAAAAAAAATAATAAAAATTATTACTTTTCAATTTCTACTACCATTTTTAAAATTTATATAAAAATTTTACGAATTTGCAGAAATTAAAGAACATGTTCTTATTAAAGCAACATGTGTAAAACTATCACTGTGGTATATCATATACTTACATATGTACGCATATTTTGTTATATGAGGAAAAATTTACATACCTACAGGTATAGGCATATATAAAAAAATATTTTAAACACATACATACTTGAAATCAAATATTTCAACTTTAATTCAATTAAGACTTAGAATTCTAGCTAACAGAATGAAGTAAATTTTGCATTCTTAAATGTAATTTTCAGTTCTACATTACAGTAAAATGATTTTTAAATCTGTTCAAACCTGAAAATAAATTATTGAATTCAGTTTTATCATGAATTTCTAAATAGAATTTAAATACCTTATTATATAATTTATTATATAAAGGCATTTTTTTTATTTCTTCCATTAAAGCTGTTTAAATCGAAAAATTTGTTTCATCCAAAATTTAAAATATTCGCTAATAAAAGTCAAAATTTAAATTTTGTAGTTTATACAAAGTAACTTCTTCTTAATAATTTGTAGAGAGTAAATTAATGTAATTCTAGCACGAGTAATACTTGTGCAATAATTCTTATACTGCAAAAAATTTCGTTTAACAAATTTAATTCTGTATTTGTATAATTTTGTATTGGTATAGGTGAAAGTCAAAATTAAGCAATTCCATTTTTCAAAAAAAAAAAATTGGAATAATTACGTTACAAAACGTCATTCAACGTTGTATTCAAAAAAAAAGTACTAGATTTTGTTGCATATAAATAAATGCTTATACCTGCAGAACTATTCAATATAGAATAACCATCGGTGCGTGGTTTCACAGACGATTGATTGCTCTTAATTTTCAATCAATCTTAATCTTACAATCAATTTCGTTTGAGCAATAGTTTTTTTAATATAAAGCTCTTTAAAGTAGCTTTTTGTATCTCGGAAACAAGTGTATCTGCTCCCTCTGCTCATCTCTAGTTAAACCGAAATATTTTTCAATACAGAACAAATCTTTCAATTAAAAAAAGAATTCAGAATTATAGCTTCCATTTTAAAGTAAATTTTCGTAATTATAAAATCGTAACTAGAGGTTTGATTTAAGTAAGTTAAAAGTGGTTAAACATTTATAATAATGTCACCATTTATCTTTGCACTCAATCACTCAGCAGGAGATTTTTTTTTTCAAGTTTTGTCCATATACCCTTTAATTTTTTGTTAACACAAAAATCTTATGGGCGTTCAAAATTTTTTTAAGATGACAAACTTAAAACTTAAATTTTTTTTTTATATTATTAAATTTTTTAATTAAATTAAATGAGCTAATAAAAAAAACGCCAACAAAAACAAAATGAAACTTAATATTTTTCGCAGTAAGGCGATTTTACTTTATATGTGCACAATTAAGATGCATTTAACGCAAAAATTTTGATAAATAAAATTATGAAAATAAAAAAAGTTCTTATATTATTTTTCATTTGTAATTTACATTTTATTAAGGACAAACATTATGTATGTATGTGCATACAAAGTTATTAGTTTGTAAAAATAAAAAAAAAATTAAAATAAAATTGAGTCAAACCAATGGTTTGTAGAAAAGCACTTTTTTATTAGTAATTCATTAATGTTATTAGTGTAATATGGATGAACATACCTATTAATATTGTCTTGTGATTGTATGTTTCAAATAGAAGATTGGGTGTAGCATCTCAACATAAATAATATTTAGTAATCATGTGGTTTATAGCAATGCAATGGGAAGAACATAGAAAGAGGTAGGTTACTGGTTCGAGTCCAGTTCGAGGAGATCTGCCTTTAAAATCGTTCTTTTTATTATGTCATCCATCTGATCTGTAGTTGTATGAAGAAATTTTCATTGAGTCAATATTATTAGTATAATAGGCACATTACTTATTAATTAAACAACTATGCACGTTGCATTAGTAATTCTGTTAACCACAAAATTTATCGATTTATTGCATATATTTCGTATGAGAAAATGAAAAAAAAATTTGAGAAAAGCCTTAATATTATGATTGAATTGGGTTAAGTTCGAGAGTTAAGGAAAATTATTATATTTCTTATTGACATAGCATTTACCGTTATCTATTCGGTTTTATAGAAATTTTCCAAAAGTTTGTAGTTTAATTCAAATTTTTCAAATTTCGAAAGGGTACAACTTGGGAACGAAACAAATTAATTATTATTTTCTAAAAGCGGCTAAAATTTCAGATTCCTGCAAATTGCAGTCTATAGATGAAAAATGATATCAAAATTTATTAAAGATCAATTTGTGTATAAAATTTTACCTTTCTATCTCAAACGGTGTAGAAGTTTTGTAAACAGACAAACGGACAGAGTGAAACTAAAAATCACTTTATTTAAAATTTTTTTTTGGAAAATTGCTCTAAGCAGAAAATAAAATATTACAAAAATTGAGAAGACATGTTGATATTTTTTGGTTTATGAAACATGGTTATGCCATAAAACTCTTTATGTACAAAAAATTTTATAATAATGTGGAATTTAACACATTTTATAGTAAGTTTATACTACTATAATATTAAATTTGAAAAAGAGAAAATATTTTTTTTTTAAATTACAATCTATAGCTATAAAAGACTTGCTAATTTTATAGAAATATTATTTATTACTAAATAAGAATTCTTGTACAAAGAAACTACTTCGAGACCTTTATTAAAAACATCTTAGTCTATTTTATACACTCCGGAAAGTAATTAAAAAAACCCTACACATAATAGGTTCAATTACAAGACAAACAGAGTATTAACTCTCAATTAGATCTGCTATTAGTTAAGCTTATCTTACTGACATAGCTTGAGTGTATAGAGGCAATACATTTTAAAATATAGAGGATTTCAAAAATTAACTAGGTATTCAAAATTGTAATAAGACTTCCATACATTTTTGGTCCTGTTAACTTATTCATCAATAAGTTGCACGTGATAATTGTGGTAATTAGTAAATTTCTTGTGGTAATGCAGGCCACATAGAACAATGCACGTCATATTTCCAATAATTTTTTACAATTTAAAATTTTCATTTTAATAAACAATAACGTTTTTAAAAATTTTTTCATCGAAATAAAAATTAATTTTTTTTTTTCAATCACATTGTCATTTGCTTTTGACAATCGCGAAAAGTTATAAATAGAGGTGAAATTTTTAATTATTTAATTTAAAAGAAAATATAGAAGAGAGAAGACCATTTTTATTTTATCTAGAAAAAAGTTGAAGAAATCGAAGGACAAAAAATATAGGAAAAATATTTTTCTTGCTAAAATATCTTTAAATACAATTCTTTTTAGTTTTCAATTGAATAACATTAAAATATTTTTGAAAATCTTAGGAAATTTAAAAAGAAACCAAAAATGGATCAAAAACAATTAATAATTGTATTCGGAATTTTAATTTTCTTCTTTGGATTGATTATTTTGTATTATTGTTTTTGTAAATGCAAAACATATTGGAAAAATCGAAATCAATATTATAAGTTGAGGAATGTTGAAATTGATTTGTGTGATTCTATAGGCGAATGTAGTTTACAAACAAATGTTTCGGTTCAAAATTCTTGTAGAACATATTCAATTAGTAGTTTGAAATCTCATAAGAGTCAGGAGAGTAATAACAATCTAGATAGCGATAGCAAAATTGTTTTTTTGTATAAATATGAAAAGGATTTTGTTTCAACTGATTCGGAAAATGAAGGTTTTTATAAAAACAATTTTAATTCTCGAAATTCTAATGAAACATTTGTAGTATCGGGAAAATCAAATGAAACGTTTGTAGTATGGGGAAAATCAAATG